ACAATATTTACATTATTGCGTGATGCAGTCAAATCAAATTCAAAATTGTTTCAGATGGGATGAGGGTTGAATTTTATTCCTAGATTAGCTGCCCCCATGTCAGACAGGTGCCGGGGGATCGAAGTATAGCACAGGTAGAAGCGGTGTTGCGAATTATTAACTGATATGCCCACTTCCCTTCCCAAATGCTAACTAGGTTTTGTTATCCTTTCCGCGAGCCGTCTGACCAAATTCTCCAATGTCACTGCAGCCTCTAGGGCTTATTGTGCCTTTCTCCTAGAGTTTACCGTACCCAATCCAGCAGTTTAGTGTTCTGTACCAGTTGGTACAGTTTTCCTGCCGGCACTGCACTAAATTACCTCGGATCTAGTTTTGGTTTCCCAAAGAGGAGTTGTCTTTTATGGTGTAGCGCCTCGCTCTCCTCATAAGACATGTAGCGCTGATACTGTTTCTTTTACGCATTGTCTGCAGCTAAGGTCTTTATCGTACATCCCTACTTCGCCCAGGTGCTCTTTCAGTGTTCTGTTAGAAGCCCTGTAACCGCACCAGTTGGTTTCTACTAATTGAGAGCAGTTCCACGGTCTTCTTTGGAGATGGCCTACATCCAGTTACTAAGTGCCAATATTCCTTGTGCTGTTTTTTACCCATTTCTTGACTTGGTTCCATATTGTATTTTTTGGCCCCTTCAAGGAACGTTCTAGGTCTGTATAGGATGTGAATTATCCTTCCGAGTTCATCCGCCCTTTAATTTCCTGCGTTTCCTGAATGTCTTGGGACCCATATCAGACTTACTTTGTTGTGTTTCGCCAGTGTGTTCAGTTCTTGTTGACATGCCCAGATCTGTGCAGATGCCACTCTAGGACTTCTTAACGCCATGAGTGACACCTGACTGTCAGTGTTTATAGCGGTTACAGGCGCGCTCATTATTTACTCTAGCACAGTGCAAGATTGCATACACTCCTGCCACAAATACAGAGGTGTTTGTTTCAAGCGGATACTATGCCCAGAATCGCACCTGTTCCCTACTAAGTGTTGACCCGTCAGTGTACCAGGTAATTTCCTGTTGCAGGTTGTGACTTTGGTGTTTCGGTGGAGCTCCTATTTGCTAAGTAGGTTAGACCTTTTTGTTTTTTTTTACACAATTTCTAAAGAACCACCTGTGATGTGTGTATACTTGCGTCGCGTCGGTCCAATAGCGGCTGAATTTTACCAAACTATTTCGTCACGTTAATATATTCTGGAATTGCAAGAATCGAACACAGAATAAGAACTTACATCGAAAGGAAGAAACCGAGCAGGACTAAAGATCGATACCGGAGGCGATTCATCAAAGGGAACTGTTATACCCAGCTTTATTCCGCTTTGCAACATGTCTCCAATTTTATGTTGATAACGCTTTTTACGAGACGATCTCACTCTCATTAACACTCGAATTTATTGCGGACTTTGGTGGGATCTGACTTTACGCCGTTCAGACAAAATTTATCCGCGTCGAGATTAAGAAATTCCCGTTGGTTTATTGTCTGCTTATCTTGTATCGGTTTGGTTTACAATGGACGGTCCATGTTGGGAGGCAAAAGTAACGATAAAGTTGAACGATCCGAATAAATATTGTCCTTGTAGTTCCAACGCGTTAGGTTACTTGTTACTATACGAGCTGGTTGTCTAATAAAACCAGCTCGTAGGACTCCTACGCAGAGACAAGATGATCGAAAGCGCATAATATTTTTTTGAAACAGGATAAAGCTTTTACAACTCTATCAGACAGAAAAGCTTGATTTCGTGCGGTCGTGCAATGCTTCTGAATGGAATATTCCAGAGAATTGTATTAAGCAGCAACGGAGCAGAAGCTAAGTAGGGAGGAACTACAAATAGTGAGGGATTTTTTACAGGTGCCACTTACTGAGGACAATTCTTACGGAAAGAAGGGTTGTGTATCAAATCCCCTAAGTAGAAGTGTGCAGCGTTAGAAGAAATTAAAGCATCTTATCCTCAAATGTGCTGCTTTGACAGAATGAAGGCCCGTGAATGGGACTCCACCTAATGCTTGTGACTGGAAGTGCAGCCAAAAAAATCAATTTTTACTTCCGTATATCTCACTCATTCCCTTCCACACAACTATATGCCAAGGACGAAAAAGCTTTGTAGTTTTTGAAAACGAAAAAATGAAAGTCGTGTAACTTCTTTTTTTGTTTTAGAGGCTCCTGATCATTTTCTGGGGTTTAGTACATACGGTAGTACATAAATACGTTTCCAAACTCGCTAATTCTAGATAGATTTCCCCGTACATGCCTTCAAACTTGAAGAAATATCAAATGGACGGTTCGCGCCTAGGTCGCACTTGCCGTACGCTACGATCTAACACCGGTGTGCACAAAATCCTGTCCGCGTCTGCCACTGGCCACTGCCGCCTAATATGTCACCCCTAGGCTGCTCGACGTTGCCAGATGATCGATACTTTCAGTAAGCACAGGGAAGAAAATTTCAGATCGCGTTATCAAATGGGTGGAGATTATGGATTATTTGCATTGACCTGTTTGGCTCACTTGATTCTTTATTTGTGTTCTACATGTTCATAGTCAACTTTTTTTCTTATAATAATAATCCTTTATGAACTGAAGACAGCGGTGCGTAGGAAGTGCAGAGTCAACCCGCTTCCCATTTTAACTTCCCACGCCTACTGGCGGGGAAGGGAAGTATTGTAATCGCGAAAAATATCCAAAATGAGACACTGTATTTTTTAAATCAATCAGGACCTTTTTTAATGAATCTGCATGATGCCAGGCCAAAAAATTGCTATGACAAAATTTGCGAGGAAGTACTGTAATCGCGAAAAATTTCGAAATTCAGATATTGTCACTCATTTCCGTCGGTCTGTTTATCGGTCTGTCTGCTAATCTTGTAACTTTCTATAACATGAGAAGTGCCGCTCTGATTTCGATAACATTCTACTCAATTTTATTACTATTTCAAGGACGCAAAAGCTTTGTAGTTTTTGAAAATAGGCCTAAATTTTTTAGGGATATACGAACTTGGGGGTAGGAGTTGCAAGGGGCAATCTCAATTTTTTTATTTTGATACATTTATACAGGGTTTGTCCGGAAAGTAATAGGACTGAGTCGATTTAAAAAAATTTATTGAGCCAATCGTTACAATTCTTTAAAAACTTTCAAAATAGGCTCCTTCTGGGTCCATGCAGCGCTGCCGGCGCGATTTCCAAGCATTGAAGGCGTCACGAAAGGCATTCTCCGGAATAGCCTTGAGAGCCGCGGTGCATGCTGCTTGGATCCCCTCTGTCGTCTCAACATGCTTACCTTTCATCGGCCTTTTCAGGCGAGGAAACAAAAAAAAGTCCGGGGGGGGGGGGCTCATCTGGGCTGTAGGGCGGCTGCGGAAGGTTGAGATGCCGGCCTTGGTCAGGTAACCGTTCACAAGAAAGGCGGTGTGAGCCGGGGCGTTGTCGTGGTGCAACTTCCAGCCGGCTGCGATGTATTGTCGGACCCGACTGACCCTTCGTTTGAGTCTCCTGAGCACTTCCACGTAAAACTTGGCGTTGACGGTTTGTCCAGGAGGAACAAATTCATGGTAGACGATGCCTTTGATGTCAAAAAAGACAATGAGCATCGTTTTCACTCTGGATTTGTTTATTCTTCCCTTTTTTGGACGAGAAGACGCCGTCGTGTGCCACTCGGAAGATTGCCTCTTTGTCTCGGGATCATACTCAAAGATCCACGACTAGTCACCTGTGATTGCGTTATTCAAAAATTGGGGGTCACTTTCACACATGTTCAAATTTTCTTGGCACACTTCCACTCGCCGCAATTTCTGGTCGTCAGTGTGCACTTTTGGGATCATGTTCACGCAGACCTTGCGCATGTTCAAATGCTGTGTCACAATGTCATGAACCACTTATTTTGGTAAATTTAACATTTTGGCAATTAAACGAATACTTAGTCGACGGTCTGAGTTGAAAGCTTTGCGCACACGAGTCACATTATCGGTGTTTGTCGAAGTTGAAGGTCTTCCAGCACGGTCTTCATCAGCGACCTCTTCCCGGCTGTCCAAAAAAGCCTGGTGCCACCGAAACACACCACTGCTTGCTAAAGCAATACCTGGGTAAGCCTGCTTGATCATATCAAACGTCTCTGTCGCAGATTTACCGAGTTTCACACAGAATTTAATCGCGTACCTCTGCTCTAACGAACGCTGCATTTTCGGCTTGCACCACTCACAGAAACACGTCGCACGAATATATCTGTCCTGACTCTCCAAGCCCTCGGAGACAACTGACCAGCCGCTCATTTGTTACCTAGGAACGCCCTCTACCGAATCCAGTCGGTGCGCGGACGCTCCGAAGTACAGTCAGTCATGGCGGAAGAAAATGAGTCCTATTACTTTCCGGACAAACCCTGTACACTCTCAACATTGGTAATTTGACACACCTATTAGACATTTTAACATATTCCTTTATGTACTGGTAATGCCGCTGCGTGGGAGGTGTAGACTCAACCTACTTGATGCAATTTTTCGAAATAACTACACGTAGGGGAGACACGGGCAGCCGGAATCACTTTCGGGGAGTGCCAATTCATAGCACGAAATTATTAAAAAATCATCTATCTGAATACTTTTATGTGGATTTTAATTATTTCAGAAACATTAAACACTACTATTTTAACTTTACAATATAGTTTGAGCAAGTTACGGCCTAAATTATTAAAGACTGTATTTGATTCTATTTGCCCGACCCTCTAGGGTAAAAGGAATCACAGGTGAGGGCAAAAGGATTCGAAAGAAAAAATATAATATGGAAAATATAAAAATATATATTATCATTAAGGAAAACTGAAAATGGTAACTCTTACAATAATTATTCTCTTAACCTAATTATTTTCTCTAATCTTTAACCTGATTTTATTAATCTTGATATATATAAAATAAAAAAAAAACTATTATTAGTAGAAACTGAAAAAGATATTCTATAATTATTCTTAACTCAATTATGTTCTCTGATCTTTGACCTGATTTTGACAATCTTGACAAATATAAATTCCAGTCTTGTAGCTTGTGCATTTCTGATGTGCCCACTTCTCACAGAAATTGCACTGTATCCAGTGTTCGCCTTGAATGGAGTTTTCAAAGGAATCGTCACATATCAAACATGGAGTTTCTTCTTCATCTGGAGTGGTTTTCGGTGGTGAAGGTGGACGAGGTATTTTCAGTTTGCTGGAATCTGTCTCTTGTTGGATCTTCCTTCTAACGCTTTTGACACATTCTTTGCTCTTACTTTTTTCTCTAATTTCTTCTTTAATTGGCGTAGAAGTCAAAATCTCTGATTTCTGTTGATTCCTTTTTGTTTTGGGTTCTTTTCGTTTATCACATTTAGGTATAATATGAATATCAATAATTTTAATGCGATTATTTCCTTTTGGAGCGTCACTAGCTTGTTTTAAGGTCGTACTATTATTGAGACCAGAAGGTTCAGGTTTTGCGATATCATTATGGACAGATGTATTGGGCGGTCCAATTTCAATAACATCCATATCTTGAGGATTATGGTTAATACGGACCTCTGGTTCTTCAATGTTAGTTACATCTGCTGGAAGGAAGTCCACTTCGGAAAAAACATCTAAATCACATCTTGCAATGCCAGTTTTTTCGAAACCTTTTATAGCGTTTGTTGGTGTTGCAGCTTTAAGGTAGGCATTATTAAAAATTTTGCCTACATCAAACAACGTAACGCGTTGTGCAGGATGCGCTTTTTGCCACTTGTCAATTTCATTTTGGAAATAAGTTCCGAAAGGGCCATAAACGGACACATCTAGCGGCTGGAGCTTGTGTGTCGTGTGGGGTGGAACCGACAAAATGATGACATTATTCTGAGAGGCATAATCAAGGACATCAATAGACCTATGAGAAGCATGATTGTCTAAGATTAATAGACATTTATGGTCTTCATTTGGTCTAACGTTGCTTACAAAAAACTTCATCCACTCCAGGAAAGCTTCGGAACTTATCCATCCAGAATCAGTTACTAACTGAGAAGAGCCTGGTGGAGTTCCTTCCATGTACCTTGGATTTTTCTTTTTCCTTGAGAAAACTAGTGTAGGAGGAATATATGCCCCAGCAGCGGAACAACAAAACAGTGCCGTTACTAGTGTGCCTCGCTCGGAGGAAGATATAGCTCCAACTCCCTTTTTGCCTTTCAGGGAAATAACCTTAGGAGGCCTATTTGTAGAGGTTTGGATCCCTGTCTCATCTACATTGTACATATTTTCAGGCAAAATATTGTTTTTCTCGATGACGTCCCTCAAATTTTCGAAAAACCTCTCCACTTGTGGGCGATTAAAGCCACTGGCTCGTGCAACACTGGTCGGCTCAGGTGTCCGTAAGCTTAACTCAGGATGTCTCTTCATAAAATTTTGATACCATTGCTGACCCGCTGCATTATTTTTAAAACAATGAATAATGTGGTTCGCTTCGGCGTATTGATATGCTAACACACAAAGATCTCGTCGCGTAAGCCCATAAAAACGGCTATCAAGCTCTTTGATATGGGTAACAAATTCTTGTTCTTCTTCTGGAGTGAAAACCGTCTTAAATCTGCCCAGAGATTTAGTAGTTTTATTAGACTTCACATGCTTAAGGAGCGTTGAGAATGGAATGTTATATATTAAAGACGCTTTTCTTATCGACTCCCCGTTACGCACTGCTTGCAATGCATGTTCCATGGATGTTTCTGTCCAGGTGCTTCCTCGTTCCGACTTTCTTTTATAGTTGAAAACCATCTAAAAAAGAAGCGAAAATTACATACCTACATGAAAATCGAAAATTGATATACGGGCAAAAGGAATCATGATCCCTTTTGCCTGATTCCTCTTGCCCGAAATGCACTGTCACAAAGGAAATAAAAATTTACGAGACGCTGGCAACAATGGACATATTTTCAAGGTTAGGTAGAAAAGTAGAAGTGCCAATCTTTCGATTATTAACTAAATCGGTTTGAATAAATGGCTGAGTCACTACTTACCCTTCTTCAAAAATCCTTTGAACAACTATTCAAGGCGTAATTAATTAGAACGCCTTAAAAAATATGAGGTAAAAACTTTAGCACGAGCGAACGCGTTGCGCATGAACTTGTGCCATACTCAGCGAATTGTTAAACAGCGTTGTCAGGTTTCTGTGATGAAGCTGTTTTCATTTATTTAGCTGATTCCTTTCGCCCACTATATCCCTTTTGCCCGATTTTACCCTACTAGTATTTACTGTGGTCCTTACCATCAGTATTTACTGTCAGTGTCAGTGGATTTGTCCGTAAAGGTTTAGCTTTTGCCCGCAGTTTAAATGGGCTGTTGCTCCGCCTATCAAATTTCCTCCAAACAAAGAAACATTGTAGGACCATTATTTATTGCTTGTTAAGAGGGTTGCAATTACTTACATCCTCAGATGAAGTCCATTAGATTCTTGTATCTCAGGAAATGAGGAACCCACCAAAGCTGCTATTTCCATATTTCATGATGACCGACCGTGTAGAGTATCGCGATTTCATTGTCTGACTCCCTTTGGCCTCTTTTTCTCTTGTTAATTCCTACTTTCCCCTGGAAGTTTGATCTCTCAATCGCCAGCTTTGTCGGCAAAGTCGGTCCATGTAGTAAATGAAGCAGCAGTGTAGCAGCCATGTCTGCCATCGGTTTGCGTGTAATTATTTTGTAAACAATCCTCGTGTTTCACGGTGGTTTGCCGGAGATAACCGCAAAGCAAGCGTTAGATCAATGGCGGCCAAGTTCTCTCCGTCTTTTCTTATATATTTACTGGCTGCCGTGGTGGCCACTTAACTGGAAATTTGCAGCTCGTTGGGATAAATGCACGAATAGGTATTGAACTGTGCTTAATATGTGAATACGGGAATTATTTTCTTCTCATTTAACACCTGCAATTGGTCAGCTGTAAATACTTGCGTGCATGATACCAGCATAGAATGTATAACAGTGTCCAAAGTTAGATGGATTTTTTTTGTAGAGGCTTACGTGAGTCGTCACTATACAGGATTGGCAGAGAATCATTGAGATCCCGAATTTAACGTCTTCAAGCAAGATAGAGAGAGAGAAACGCCTATGTTAGAACGAGAGCGTCAATTAAGGATATATATACAGGGTGTTCCATAATTATTGCGACAAAATAATAGGGGTTGTAGAGGGCATAAAAATAAACAATTTTGCCTTATAAACCCCTGTTCGGAAATATGCCGTTTGGGCTGCAACAAAAAAAAAGATCAGTTTCTTGAAACAGCTTACCTACAGTAATTGCTCAAAGTGTCCTCCACCTTGCTCAATACACAGCTGTGCACGATTGTTCAATGATCGGCGAAGTCTGTGGCATACCCCCGGTATGTCCTGAACATGTGCGGACGCGGCCATCACTCTTCCCAGTAGCTCTTGTTGGTTGGGAACAGGAGTTTCGTACACTAAAGCTTTCAGATGGCACCAGAGAAAATAATCCAGTGGGGTCAGGTCGGGTGACCGCGCAGGCCAAGGCACAGGGCCACCTCGGCCTATCCACCTATTTGGAAATTTGTCGTCCAAATACTGCCGCACTTGTAAAGAAAAGTGGGCTGGAGCTCCATCGTGTTGAAACCACATGTGGGCTCTTATGTTCAGTGGCACATTTTCTAATAGTTCCGTGCTGTAAGAATCGACCATAAGCATGCCCATCCAAACGTGGTGGAAGCAAATATGGCCCGATGATATGCTCGTCCACAATGCCTCACCAGATGTTAATTGAAAACTGATGTTGGTCTCTATGGATGGCTATGGCATGAGGGTTTTCTTCATCCCAAATGTGACTGTTACGGCTATTAAAATAACCGTCCTTTGTAAAACAGGACTCGTCAGTGAACAAAACGTAGCGACCAAAGTTTGGTTGCCTCAACTCCATAAATCCTTGCAAAAATGGCGTCATGCGGATGAGGACGTTCTGGAAACCGTTAGGCGTAGATTCGCGAGGGTCGTCTTCCGTTACCACCAGCTTCTTCGTAAATTAAATGCATATCCGCAAGTTCCGCATACGAAGAACGCTGCATTTTAACACTAAGGTACTGTTATTTACTATCTAGTTTGACGCACCACTCAGATAAATTAAATGAATCGGTGTGGAGAATTTAGATAACAAAAATGTAAACACAGCAGGCCTTTTTTACAAACCGGCGAGACCATGAAATGTGCTAGACGAACATTTTGCAGCTGGTGAATTTTTTGTTTCTCCTATGAGCTCTTAAGGTAAAATTAGCGGTAGTGCTCAAACGGCATATTTACGAACAGGGGTTTATAAGGCAAAATTGCATATTTTTATGTCCTCTACAACCCCTATCATTTTGTCGCAATAATTATGGAACACCCTGTATATAAACTTGATTGAAATAGAATAACTGATATAAGGATTGATTATTGTACTCCTTTGTTTTAAAGAATTAACCTTCTGGGGTAACTTTTTTTCAGTTATAATATTCTTAGCTGGCTGAAATAATAAATACGTGTATAATTAAACATTAACTTCATCTAGTCGGAGCCATTTTCATGTTTTATTATCGTCACCAAACCTGAGAGACTCATTCTGAATTTTTCAAGGATACTGTAACTGCGCTGCATATTAAAGAGAACATGTGATGCATTATTGATTTCTTCTTTCTTTATCCATTTAGTTAATGGATGATATCATCGGCGAAGTATGCAATTTGCGGCAGTAAAGTTGTAATTTGTGATATTGCCTTTTGGGAAGGGAAATAATAGTTGATGAGGGTATCTTCTGAAACTACATTTTTTCTTTAATCGATGTAATGACAGGATGTCGGAGTTTTTATGCAAAAATCAGTGGATTGCCAAATAGAACAATAAGTACTTTTGGATTTTGTTCTTGAAAAAAGCCAACAAATTTGGAAACATATCATCCTTCATAGGATCATTGTATGTCTAAGCCATTTAGCGAAAAATTTGTAGAGACCTTTTTTGATGGCCCAAAAATTAGAAAAATTTACGTGTAAAAAAATCCCAGATATCCTCAGCCGTTTCAGCGAAAAAGAGGTTTTTCGGGTTTTTCGTTGTTTTACAAAAAACGGCTGGTTTCCGGAAAACCAAATTCATACAACATTATTCGCAATCATTTATTACACCATTACGCCAGCGGAAATAACTTTGTGGCTATGTTATCACTTTTGTCTCAGTTTCGGCTATTTAACTGGACTATTGTATGCGATCCCAATCGCTGGCTCAGGCCCTCTGAATGGTGTGCTAGCCCCACTCTTTGCCAGAGTGTCAGCTGTCTCGTTTCCCTCTAGACCTCTGTGTCCTGGTATCCATATGAGACGGACTCCATTTACCTCCCCTATGCCACCGAGAGCTTCTTTGCAATTCCACCAGCCATACCTGTGTTCAGGCTCGCCGTGAACACCTACGGTATCTCCATTGGAATTTTCATGAAAACATGATAGTGGACTTTCCTAGGACGTTTGCACAGTTCCAATGCATTGCATTATACTGAGACGATCCATAACTGAAGACCCGGGTCTCTGAATAACACTTGCTTAATATAAAATGTGTAAGCGCCCATTTATTCATGCATTTTCAGTAAAATACCTCAGATAAGGACACCCGTTTGTCAAGCATTACTGGCTTACTGACTGTCGCGTCCTATTTAGGTGGTCAGGTCGTTAAAAATGACGCCAAATTTTAAACCTAATGTGGCATCGCCATTTTTGAAAAAGTATAATCGTATATGAAGGAGTTATCAATAATAATTACAAAAAGGTTGATGTAATCCAAAAATTAATTATAAAATTGATCCTCCATAGAGAGATTACTTATTCAAGTCATTCTCTGTAAATGGAGGTTTAACTATTAGATTGCAGACAAATTTATTTCCATTGTGGTCTAATACATTATATTAAATATTCGAAATACTTGAATCGTATCATTCATAACTACCCAACAAGATTGAATCAAAATTCAATGTGTATTCCACAAACATCAAAAACCATTACACAACGATCTCTGTTTTTCTTGAGACCAAAATTCTATAACTTCATACCAGAGTCATTAACAGTAATTAAATCAATTGATCATTAAAAAATAACTAAAAAAATGGATTTTGCAGCAACCAATATGCTCCATCCAAGAAATTGAGGATATGAAAAATCCTTATTTAAAGCAATAATATTTTACTTACACTAACATCCATACTTTTCCTTTACTTTTGATTGTTTGGATATTGCTTCCGACATCCCCAAAATAATTCAGTTCACAAAATTATATAGCATTTACGTTTTTTTCAAACTTCTAGTTTTTATTTTTAACAAACCCAAACACAAGTGCAAACTTTTTTGGGTGCTTTGTGTTTATTGTGCACAATATTTAATATTTACCTGTATTTTGTGACAATAAACATTATTATATACCGAAAATTGAATAAAACCTCATTTACAACGAACAGAAATACTATTCATATTCTCGGAAAGATAAACACCAGATGAATGAAAAACTTTAGGAGGTTCCAAAGTGAACAATACCATTCAAGTCATACAATGGAGACTAGACCAACTGGGCAACCATTATGTCCTTAATTCATGGAGGTCACCCTGTATTGTTGAGTACAAATGGCGGGTCAGACACCGCGCACATTCATTGGATGGAACAATGGTTTGTGCTGTTCCTTTCATTCCTCATTGGCGTTCGTCTTAAATACAGCTTTTGGGACTTGGTGTGATGAGCACCAACCGAGAGGATTCAAAACAAAGCTAGTTTGCTGTTGAAAATATATGAAATTTCGTCATGGTATATGACAAAGTTTTTAAAGCCACTCTCAGACAGAAAAGCCCAACAGTATTTTACCCTGCTGGCCTTTCTGCGCTGAAGTGAAGATTCTTCATGAATGCGACATACCTGTACGTGCTAAAACCACACCACGATAATGCTTGGAGCATTTCTTCATGGTGGCTAACGTTGCGCTAAGGTTTCATACTAAAGGTTTTTAGACATCTTATTCTCAGCGTCTTACGCGTATATTCGTAACTATGTAAAAATGTATATGTATTTGCACAACCTAGCAAGTAGAAACCTATTGTGATTTTCTTCGTCTATTTTTTTTCTCCTGAACTTCGCTCAGCATCATCCGCCTCACTATGGGTTGAACGTCAAACTATTTGCCCTCGCTTACATGCCTGGCAACATTGTCAGCCGTGAGCCTCTCGCCGAGCGTCAATTCCACCGTCTCTGCTAGTCAACGCAGTTCGCGTACTCGTTCTTTCCAGGTATCTGTCAAAATATACATGTCCTCGGAGAAACCGCTCCTTGGTCAATCCAAGTTTTAATATCTCGGATCAGCTTTCTATTATAGTACGTGCACCATGGCTAGTTACATTCCATCTCTTAACTGCCATCTAACAGACAGCGCGTCTCTTCCTTTGCTTCTAGCTTCCGCGCCCTTTTTATAGAACGGGCATCTCTCCTCAGCCAGCAAATGAATGGGCGAGATCAATGCAGCTAGGTTGTGTTTACAGTTTTATAAAGTAACCGTCTTATTAGTCCTGATACGAAGTATGAACATTATTTATATACACTTGATACATATTTGTATATGTGGTAAAAATGTACAAATACAATATGAACATGTATAACAATGTTATTACAAT